ATCTCTTTGGATTTGAGACTTTAGTCTTTGCAACTTTACAGATCTTCTTTATGCAAGGAAAAATTGAAATCGCATCATATGACCCCTTTAACGATTTGTAAAAGAAAAGAAAAAAGAAAAGAAAAGAAAAGAAAAGAAAAGAAAAATCAATAATTTTGACCCATGCTATTTTTTTTTGGCTATTCATATTTTTTAAAACTATAAATATAATATATATTTTAACTAATTTTAACTATTTTAACTATATTTTGAAATTTGTTAAAGCTATTGGAGACAAAAAGGCAAACAGTTTTTTGGACTGACAATTCAAGTTTTAAACAAACAATTAATCAAATGCTAAGAAATTAAAATATTTCAACAAACACTAACAAAAAACATTTATACAAATTATTTAAGGGATATTTATTAGCTCTGATCTACATGAACAACATATAATCTACATTAATTAGTACACTCACTCGCTGCTGACCACAGACAAGGACTTAGTATGTGTTAAAAAAAAAGAGGAAAGGACGGATAGAGAATCACAGCACAGTATGAGTACAGCTGTGATGGCTTCACTCTCTTTAACAGGAAAAAACAACCTGAGCTCCACAACAATGGACAGTTTGTCTGACATAAATGGTCAAGGTGTCCGTGTTTGGCACTTAAACTGCTGTTATTGCTGTTTGCATGAGAGCATCTGTCAGTATCTGGCATAACACAATTTTTTTTACTTTCTTTCTTACTTACAGGCTTTCTTTCCACCCTCACCACAACACCACAGAGTAAATTTGTCTGTAATTACTGCATTTATTATACATTCCTGTAGCTCAAACAGTAGATCATAATGCTTGCAACACCAAGGTCATAGGGTCAATTCCTAGGGAATGCATGAACTGATCAAATGTATAGCTTAAAAGCAATGTAAGTCACTACATAAAAGCATCTGCCAAATGTAAGTTAATGTGTTTTTCTCTTCTCTTCATGTTTATTAACCTCTATAATTTGCACCAAATCCGCCCAATGTTTTTGTTAGATGATATGACCCAGGCATCTCACGTACCAGACCTATTGTTTAGTTGGGAAAGCCCATGCATCTGATCACTTCGTGGTCTCACACTCCCTTTTGGCATCTGCAAAACACTCATTTCCTTTGGTAATGGCAGCTGAAAATCAAGTTCCCTGCAAAAGAAAAGTAATATGTCCTAGTGGTATGTTAATTGTGATTTTATCACTAGAGTGTTTTGCTTGGCCTCACTCAATGTGTGCACACACACATTTCCACTTCTATGTGATCTGTGCTTAATACATCAATACACTAGTCACAGTATGCCTTTTTGCCCATGAAATGTCACCGAAATGCCACTAATGTGGCCATATCTTAAAGGGATACTTCACCTAAAAATGAAAACTCTTGTCATTAATTACTCACCCTCGTGTTGTTCCAAACCTGTAAGCCCTTCGTTCATCTTCAGAACACAAATTAGGATCTTTTTGATGAAATCTGAGAGGTCTCAGATTCTCCATAGACAGCAACACAACTGCAATATTCCCAGGTCTAGAAACGTAGTAAGGACATCGGTAAAATAGTCCATGTGACATCAGTGGCTTAACT